CTTGAAAATTCAGGATGATATAAACAAATCTTACACTTGGTACTATTCTGTGTTCTTGACAGGAAGCACACATAATAAAAATGTAGGTATTCCAGTTCATAGAAGTTGTAATTAGCATGCTTAAATACATGTTTACAGCACAAAATAGCAAAAAGAAAATTATTAAATATAAGTATGTGCCATGAAACGATTCATTTTCGAGATGCTGAAAGCAGTTTTATTCACAATTAGTTAACCAGTTTTCATAGAAAGTAAAAAGTTTCTATTTACGTTACCTACTATATGAATTTATTATACTTCATTTTCAGCTATGTACCTACCAGATAATGGCACCAGATTTTGTTTGGATACATTTGCCTTTAGTCATGGCCAACCTTATCTTTTTGAACAAAATATATAATAGAAAACTCATAAGTTCTCATATGTATGCCGTAGGCATTTTGATGTATATCTGCAGATATGGCGCCTGCATTAATCCACAGAATAGTTATATCCCACAATATAATTTGTTAAATCTTTATTTCGCATAGTGCGACACTGGTCTTTCTTTGATAGTACCCGTAGATTAGCAGATCGCGTTTTGTCAGTTTTTGGATTATGTAATTGTAACCATTTAAGATACAACATACTTATATTTCGATATATTCATCTTTTTTTAATTAAAAAAAAGAAGCAGCTACATCTAAACATTATTATTTTTTATGATAAATATGATAAACCATATATCTTTGAAAAACGCAAAACACTCTTTTTTTGTCGAAGTTATGGACGGATATGATTTCTATTAAAAAATAATTGTAACCTTGATCTGTATGTCTAAAGCTGTTACTTTAAAACAAATAAGTACGTCATATTATAAGATAAAGGGCAACATTTCAGAAAAAATCGAACTGTAGCCTCAACGGTGACCCAAAATACCAAAATTTTCATTCTTTTGTTGTAACTCATTGCCAGATTTATTTAAAAAATGAGGCAGAAGCCGCAACTTTCTAACTTTAATAATAACCGAGATATACCAGCAGGCGCGACATCAAAAATGAGATGTACTGCACCGACACGTAACAAAATTTAAATTCCTAAATATACAGAGTGTTTTCTAAGTTTTCTATATTTAAAGAAAACATGTTCCTATGAAAATGTGGCCGAAACGCTTAGATTCCAAGGTATAGGGTACTGAACTTTTAAAAAATATATTAATATTTGAAATAAATTTGGATCAGTCAATGTTAGGTTCTTAAAATTTGGCATTTAGTATAAAGTCAATTTTTAGGTTTGAAACAGTCGACGTTTTGGTCATAAAATGTAGAACTCCAATGGATTTTTAAAAATTTTTATTATTTTCAGACTCGCCTAACATTTTACAACAAAAAAAACAAAAAACTAATTTTTTGCCTAATACTTACCTATTCTTAGAAAAAACTTATTTATTTAATTCAGCGACAACAAAAATAAGAGATAATAATTATGGTATGTCTTTTTTTTTTGTTGTCTTAGTTACTTGTTTGGTACCGAGATTGTTGGCATTTTGCTACATATAAGTTGTCAAAAATGTGGATTAGATAATAAAATTCGAAAATGAATAACTTTACTAACGCTGAAATGACTCAGATGCTTAGCAAATAGGAATGCAGAAGAAGCAAGGTGAATTTATCTCCAGAAAGCTACATCTCAGATTAAGTGAAACTGGTATTTTTAAGCGTAATACGGAAGTTCCAGACAGACCTTCAACAGTAACAACCCCAGAGTTAGAAGAAGCTATACTCCGAGAGATAGTACCAGTATCAGGAAGCAGTTTCATGTAAGTCCAAAGACTGTTTGGAAAGTTTTGAAAGTTTGTCAGCTACTCCTATACCACATACAACGAGTACAAGCTCTGCTGTCCCTTATTTTTCAGTCAAGGCTAGATTTTAGTAGGTGGTACATAATAAAAAAATTTTGACGAAAATTTTATTTATTGATTACAAATTTTTCGCGAGAACATTTTTGGACGGACGAAAATCCGCATGCAATATGAGATGGCCAGTTTCAGAAATCATGTTCGCTGAATGTATTCATACGGATTATTCATGACTTCTTACCAGCTCGATTAACTGGTGACTCGTAGGTATAGGCAGTTTCTAGCCGAAAAGCTAAACATTTATTAGAAAATGTATCTCTACACGTAAGAGCCTATTTCTGGTTTATGCACGATGGTGCCCCAGCTCATTTCAGCTGAGTTGTTCGTCAGTACGTCCACAATACCTTTCCTAATCGCTAGATTGGACGTGCAGGCCTTGCAACTTTTATGTATGGGGTTTATGGGGTCACCTCAAGTCTCTTGTGTATAAGACACTTGTACTAGATGAAAACAAGTTACGAAATCGAATAATTCAAAGTTGTAATCTCATACAAAATTCTCCATTTTTTAACGAATGAAACAATCAACGGTGAAAAAATTGGAGCCGTGCGTTTTATCAGAAGGTGGCCATTTTCAACATCTGCTTTGATTTTGTGTCGAAACTGATTATTTGGATGATTGTTGTTTATAGTTGCTGATCATTTTTTTTAAGAATAGGTTAGTATTAGGCAAAGACACATATTTGTTTGTTCTAAATTTTTGGAGTTTGAAAATAATAATTTTAAAAAAATTTACATTTCTACATTTTATGACGAAAACGTCGAAATTGACTTTATACTAAAAATGCAGCTCTTTATCAACGTACAATAACTGTCAAATTGTAAGAACCTAATACCGACTCACTATGGTACGAAATGCCTAAAAGCTGGCCAAAAATGAAAAGTTTCTATTTGGAATTTTTTAAGTATCAGGTTGGCAATAGGGATAGTTGGGCTATTCAAATTGACCGGTGAAAACAGTTTGCCGTTTATACTGGAGCTAGAATTTGAAGTCGAAGTAACCTTATTGTGTGTGTCTCGTGGCCACCTAAGCGAACACAAAAGTACATCACACGTTCAAAGTGCTGTAAAAATTTATTTATTGTTCTGATAAAGTCGTTATAAAATGGACGTTGTTCCAGGAGGTATGTAAAGTATTTCAACAATATAAATTATTAATAATAAATTATTCATTGTCCACTTATTTTAATTATTGTTTATGACAAATAATGCTTAAATTTATTACGAAAGTCATTCAAAAGTGAACTTAAAAGTTAGATATAAGGCACTATAAGGCTAAATTACTTATTGACCCGTAATCTATGATCTATTTACTATAATATTATGAAAAAAACATCTGCGCTTAGCTGCGCTTTCAATTTTACGATATGAATAAAGCAAAAGTTGTAATAAATCGTAATTCAATTGTTTCATTAATGTCGAACAAAAAGTGAAACGAGTATTGCACTTTTTATAAAATAAGTAAAAATATTGTTTGGAAATATACATATAAGTAGAATAGTAAACGGCAATAAGTAAATAAAGAGAAAGAAAACTCGAGTATGACATAGAAATGGATAGTCGATGCGATTTTGTCAATTCACAGTCCCAAAAGTGGAATATTTGAAAGACAAGACCCTGGTATCTATATGTTTTTGGGGTGGCTGAATCTGAAACCAGTGTTTGTTTGATCCGAGCAGGTCTGCGTTAAGGTCAGTTCAAGGTTAAATGTAGAGAATCATTTACCATCAAAGTAAACCTCCATATCGATACGTTTTTCGGGACGGTTTATCCGAATCCGGTGTCCGTTTGATCCGATCAAGTCTGCGTTAAGGTCAATTCAAAGTAAATGTAGAGAATCAATTGCCAACAAAGTAAACCTATGTATCTATACGTTTTTGAGGTCGCTTAATCCGAATCCAAGGTCCGTTTGACCTGATCAGATCTGCTAAGTTCCAAACTCAAAACACTCAAGTATTCATTTATGCGTATTAAAATTTTAGTAGGTAACAAATAATATTAAAGAAAGAAAGCTTTAACTCTGAGCCCATGACATTCAACAATATTCAACAGTATAACAAGATCAAATGACGAATTTTTAAGAATTGTAATTTGTCTGCTTTACAATAAATTGAATTTTCGCATAATCAATGCGGTCAAAAACCCCAATATCCACTTCCGTTACTTTATTCCACTTTTGTCAAATTTCGTCCGCCATATTAAATCCGACATTTTAAATTTTTCAATTTCAATATGACATTCGTAATCAGTGTTGTCAAAAAATAATCAGTGTTGTCCGAAACACCTATTTTTGTCAGTTTACTCGACTTTTTTAAAATTTAATCCGCCATATCAATTTTGATATCAAATTCGTAATCAGTTGGGCCCAAAACCCCAGTATACCCACTTTTGTACAATTTGGAATAAATTTTTATTTTTGGCCAGTTTTTAGGCATTTCGTACCGTAGCGTAGTGGCGAATGTTCCATTTTATTTCAAATATTAATATATTTTTTAAATTTTCAGCACCCTGTATCTCAGAATCTAAGCGTTTCCGGTCACATGTTTATAGGAACTTTCTATCAGAAATTGTATCCTGAAGTTATATTTATATAAACTTATATAAAATTAAACTCAAATCCAAAAAAATGTCGTTCGAGAAATACTTTTTTTCATCGATTTTTTAAAGGTAACAAAAAGACTAATTGAATTGGAATTTACTGGGAAAAGAAGTAAAGTCACTTTGGAAAAATCGTATTTGTAGGTACCAAATCTTTCCATCAATAAGTGGCAAAATCAAATCAAAATCTATTGCACTTAATCTTTCTCTGATTTATTCTTTATTTGACGTTAGATTTTATCGAAAAATGTTTCCGTGGGTGTCAATAGAAGAGCTAAATTGTCATAAAAATGAAATTCCTTTGCATTTGACAAAAAATTTATATTCAAACCCGGCGGGGCAATATCCTAATTGAATTTTGCGTTTCCTTGTAAGTTAGCAGAAAACGGAATCAATATTCTGTCACCTTCACGTTCATGACCTATAAATAACATTGATCGGCTTTCCATCCTTGAATAATACCGCAAAGTCGAATAAAACCGTAATAATTCCATTGTACGACTTACCACTCCGTTACTGAATTTTCGAACAACGCAAGGCAATTTTGCCGTTCCGCCTATTTGAGCAACCACCACTGTTGAATTTTCAGTGAGGAACGCCGTACTGTGTCCCGGGGTTTTTAAGGAGTTGCCGGTTGAATGGTCCTTCCTGCGGACTTCGTAACTCCTCCTGCTCCGGATAATTTCTGGGTACATGGATATGTCTGAAACAAAACAAAGAATGACTGAGAAAACTGTAATTTCCATTTATTTATTTATCTATTTATTTATTTAAACTTAAGGGGTACAAACGGAATAATATATACCTCGAACAATATGCACGATTAACATCAACGTACACCAACTTCATAGTAATCAAAATACTTTTACATATTGTAAAACATTGTAACATTATAGGTTAAAAATAAATTTACTTTAGCATTTGATCAGAAATTCTAAAGAATTCATTACCAAAGCAAATTCTGAAGAATTAATGATTCTATAAACGGGAGAATTACTAACTTTATTATTTTTTGTTTTAAGTGAACTAAGTAATTCACAATGTTGTAAAGCACGTTTAGGGACATAAAATTAGTATATCATGACACGTTTCTTTAACATATTTTGAATTATATCCTATCTGCAGTGTAATTATTATTATTTTTAATAGTGAATTAGTTTTAAATCATAAAAATCTAATAAATTCATAACATCTAAGCTATCTAATTATTATATTGCGGATTTCATACAAAGATGTAAAATTAAATTTTCTAAATACATAAGCAAAGTACAACTGTTTAATTGACTTAACGTGACGAAAATCTTTACACTTACGAAGTATAAAACTTAAAAACTTTAATGTATTTAGAACAACTGAATTAAGGTGGTTCCTGAAAATGATTCCAAGATCGTTTTAGCATGGAAACTTTATTTAAAATTGATTACAAGATTGCAGTATTGATAAATTACTCAATTATTATTAGGACTAAATGTAATGGCAGAGAAAATTCAGGTACAAATAATTATTTTCACCCACATTAAATAACATTAGTTACATCTAATTAATTAGTAAATATTTAAAAGGTGCTTATATTTAATTATTTGCAGTTTTACAAAGTTCTCTTAATTGCCAATCTTTCCTGGTAGAGAATTTTTCAGAATAAGAAAAAAACCTCATTTGCTGTATTTTTTATTTTCTATACCAGGTACCTGAAGTATGCATAGCAATACCATACACCATAACGAATAGAGTAATTTTTATTATTACAATCTTTTATTTAACTTGCCTGTCAAATCTTGCAACTGAATTTTGAAACAGTTGCCCTCAACCGATTTTGCTGAAATTTTGCCTACATGTTCAGTTTTGATGACAATGCACGGTGGCACTAAAACCTTGTTTAAAAAATTTTATACATGAACTTATTACACAATATGATCTCATTCTTACATATTTTAGTGTTTCTAAAAATTGTTAATAAGCTCATTTCTCTGTTGGAATCTTAACTTCGCTCAAAATTCAATTCCAAAATAATTTCACCCGTGCAATCAATTTGTTTGGATATTTTTCTGTTTAATAAATGCTAATTTATGTAAACCTTTATGTAAAATTGCCAGTAAGTATCTATTTTTGAACATTCAATTAATGAACTTCGCACTGTATGAAAAAAGCTCAAGGTAACAAAAATTTTGAATAGGAATTGTATGTTCAAATGGGTCCAATGCAATACACTTAAGTTTTTTGACCGAACCTCTCGAACCATCATAGTTCCCATACCAATGGGTACATTTTGTCAAAATTTTTCATTGATTAAACTATAAAAGAACGGAACAAGTTTGAACTCCATTCTTCAATTATTCTTGAATTAATGACATTAAATATTGTTTCGCTTTCCATATTCGAAAAATCGTAGAGCGTTTTAGACTCAATTCATTTTAACGGGACGATCGCAACATCACTGACTTTAAAAATGATTTTTGATTAGATTACTGTTAACCACCAAACAACATTTAATGTTCATAAGTCACCAAAAACCTATCACAAGCTTCTTAAACTTTACATATTTATAAAACAACTAACTCGTGCCGTTATTTTTTATTTAACGTTTCTATGTTTATGTAAGTAAGTAAGACTATATTCCTTAGAAAAATCCATAAAATTCCAATCATCCATTAAGACTAGTATCTATAAAGTGAAGGTATAATTATTCAACTTTATTACGTGCATAATAATTTAATGTTACATTGTAATACAGATGGTATCAGAAAATCTGAATTGCCTTGGTGTAAATGAAACTAAAGTCGATTACCCTGCCCCTATAAATCTGAAGCTTCAGTTACGGTGCAAAAATTGTTTTTCCACGGATTTTCAGTTATCGATGAAATAACTGAATCGGAAACTTCAACCAGATATTCGGTAGTATAGCAGACTTCTGAGGGTTGCTTTCGCTGTATAGCAAGAATAACACGCTCTCTCAACGGTACAAATAAACTATTTTTATTGAAAACTAAGCTTGTATAGAAAAAGTAATGTTGACGGTTTGAGGGTTTGCTGGAGAGTGCCTTGTGGTTGAAGTCGGTCGTAGGTAGCTTGGTAGTCGGTGGCAGAAGTCCCTGGTCCTGGCGCCACTCTGCAGGGATCGGCTTCCGAGAATCCCGTGGTGCGTCCGGCGGCGGTCTTGACGTTGTCCTTAAAAATGGGTCACTTGCAACATGTGTACCCACACTTCCAACACCAATGTCCTTTGATAGAGGGAAGTTATGTACCAGAATCAAACATGGAAAAGCCTCTGAAGCAGTGGCCCCATTACTTTTTATTTTAATAAATCAATTACTTGGTACATTTTCCATTAATATAACTAATGGCAAATCTGCAAGTTTTTGGTAAACTCGGGACACAAAGCATAGTAATTTCGATATAATGTAATATGAAATACATCTGAAAGGACACATGTCCTCTGTGTCTTGCTGGCAGGTATTTTAATGATAACCACACAGGTTACTTATGAATTTTATATCTTGTACTGGCATATTTAGCAGTTCCCTTTTATAAGTTATTTGGTTCATCAATTGAAACGTTTCGGTAAAAGTTTTACCAAGTTTAAAACAAAACTTGATATTAGCTCTTTGTTTGATGCTCATTTCTGTACCGATGATACTTCAGACACAACATTTCCGATTCTATTCGTCCAAATATCATGAAAGTTTGACAGTACATCAGTGAAGGATCTAGCTTTCTGACGCGTATAATTGCCAATAGATGGCCTTACTAGAAATAGATACATATCACTTTCGAACGCAGCTTATATTTAATGTAATTGACCATAATATTTAATAAAGTGTGTTTCATAATGTCTTGCAGATTATTGCGAAGTTACTACTTCATTCAAACTTAACACTTGAGTCGTCGTATTTTCACACTACTTTTTTCTTAATATTTAATAAATGACTATTGATACTTTATCTGGTTTTTACTATAAACGGCGAATAAATTTAATGTAACTGCCAAATTTGTACTCCTTTTCTCGTCAATTTTGAAGCAGTTTTCGAGAAAATATGGTTTGATTTACAGATGCGAAGATTTTTTGCATTCTCGGATGATTTTTTATTTGCTAGCGCCCAAAAAAAATTTCTCCATTTTTGAATACAAAAACGATACTTCGCAATCTAGTAGCAAAAATAACTATTTACATTTTGTATTTAATAAAACAATATCAATACTTGGAGTGAAGAAACAAACGTTATTATTCTCAGCTAATGTTAATTGACCACTATTTGTTTCTCTCTCAGCAGTAAAATTTGTAATACCCCAGAAAGGATGCCTGGGCGCCCTTAAGCGGATATTGACTTGAAAATGGAATGCCTAGACCGGCTTCGTAATCGATGTTCCCATTTACTTATTAATATTGTTCTCGCAACGGAAACTCATTTTAACCGGATTATTTGAAGTAAGGCATTCGGTAGTAAACTGGAACAACCATCGAAACATATTTTGTTAGCTGTAAACTGCAATTTCCTCACGGCGGTCCCTGCACTTAACTCGCAGAAATTCCTATTTTATTTAAGCCCGGCCGACAATTTCCTTATTTCCCTGCAGATCCTTTAATTGACAAATACTTAAATACATTATTTCGGTTCGTTTTGTCGAGGCCTTCGGGCAAGTCCCCAGCGGTGAATACTTAAGAAAGTAAAGTATAACGTCGTTAGTGTTTTTCTCAAACTAATTTATGTTAAAGTAATTGGGCGCGATGCGAATTGGTTTCTAAATAAAGAACGCTATTTAAAATACCCTGGAATTATTCGGAACAAGGAAGAATTGGAATTTTCTGTCTCGCTACTTCACTTACAGATTAAATTATTTGCTTCATAAAATATGGTTTCTGCGAAACATGCTTAAAACAGAAGATAGAAAAAATATTTGTTTTATTTTTCAATAGCTATACTCCAATAATTATTATCTAACTTATCCATCACTCTTCATCGGTAGCATAATTGGAGATACAAAAAAAAAACCTAACTTTAGAAGTTATACGGTAATAGTGGGGACATGACAATATATAACGAATATAAAAGGAGTAACACCTCATAATAAGAATAATATACATTTGCCTGCAATTAAATAGCAGTTACAGTTAGATCCCAGTCAGTTTTGGTCTTATATTAATATTAAAAAAAATGTATCGAATATATCAACGAAACATGGAAATTAATGTACGCGGGAGCACAAATGGCTGGGACCGGTTTCGGACTTATTAGTACTCATCAGTGTATCATAGGTGCGACAACCGACAAACGACCCAGCTGTTCTTCGTCGTATCGTCATGACAAGGAAATACATTGTACGCGGGAGCCATTTGCGAAACCGGTCTGTGCCTAGTGGGTTAAACTGACAAACGATCCTAGCTGTTGCACTAGGTGTTGCGAGTGTAATTCAATGCCGATAGGGGCATATAGCTCTCGGAGTAGTTGTTTCTCGCAACACTGACAATTCAAACATTGTGTTACGAACTCTGTGGGTGGCAGTCGTGCAACAAAGTACCTGCAGTTAGCAGGTCGCTTCCTACTGTAGCCATTTGAAAGGCACAGTTGGGAGTCCGCACGACAGATGGAGCCATTTGCGCTCCCGCGAACAATGTATTTCCTTGTCGTGACGATACGTCGAAGAACAGCTGGGTCGTTTGTCGGTTGTCGCATGATACACTAATGAGGACTAATAAGTCCGAAACCG